GCATTCGTCAATCCAAATGACATCATTGTGAACTCGAAATGTCCATATTGCGTCCTAAACGCAGTCTTAGGGATATCCGCCTCCCTAACCCTCAACTAATGGTAGTCCATGCGGAGATTTATCTTGGAGTAGACCTGCGATCCCCTCAGCTGATCAAACAAATCATCAATCCTCGACAAAAGGTACATATTCTTGATAGTGACTCAGTTCAACTGTCGATAGTCTATACGCAATTGATAACGACACGATGTGCCACTAACCAATCCATTTCAAGGATCACATTGAACTCCGACATGTTCATGACCCTAAGGTCTACTGTGAATAGAATCCCCAAGATCTCTAACTCACAACCCCGATATATCTGATCAATGCAAACCTTAGCTTCTAAGGTTTACTTTTCCCATAAGGACTCCTTTAGGGTTTCAATTTCTAAATCTATTTCATCACGAAACATGAAAATAACGATATTTGACATGCCCAAATCAAATGACACATGTGCTCATATATAGGGAAGTAAGAAATATACTGTGAGTTACCGATTGATCCATTGACTCATTCTGTGGTGTGATGGCGCGGACACACCCCTGGGTCCTTGAAGTTCCAACCAGTAAGCCTTATTCTCGGCCTTAACCCATGTCCTGGCCTGACTGCGGGATCCCCACACTTGAAGTAGTAGGGGCCTGTGCAGCATCCTGAAACTGAAACTAGCTTTCCTGACCCATGATAGGGTAGTGAGGAACGAAATATGTCTGTGTATTCTCCATCGATGACTGGAATTGAAACACCCCGTAACTTTGGGATCTCAGCCTTTAAGGGCAATCCTTCTTCCTGTGACCCGGTTGGTGGCAATAGAAACATGCTCGTGGGCTTGCCTAGCTGAAAGCCTTAAAGTGTCTCTTGCCTTGAGAGGAATGACTTTGGCCTTGACCTTGGCCCACATACTGGCTCATCCGGCCTAGTTGCGGAGTACCCGTACATCAAGTACTAGGTGCATGTGTAGTACCCTATAGTTGGGGCAAATCTCCCAGGTCCATAATAGAACAGGAAGGAACAACGTGTGCTTGTGTGAGTCCCACTCACGACTGGGATTGAGACGTCTCGGAACTTCATGAGTTTCGCCTCAAGGGACAATCCTTCTTCACGTGGCCCAATTGTTGACAATAGAAACACGTCTTTAGACCTCCTTGAAATGTCCCCTTAAATTTTTCTCTCTTTGGGACAAACGAATTTGGGCTTGGCCTTGATAGCCTTAGCCCTGCCCTTGTGATCCTTGTGGGCTGGATGTTTTCTGCTTTTTCCATGAACGCTGGTGGCTCATGGAACTTAAACTCCTTTAGATAACTTGAGCCCCTTTGCTCATGTTGGCGCTTGCCTGTGCTAGGTTAGCTACTATCGTACCCATAGCCTCTATAACGGCTAGTTGGTCAAAGGTTAGTGGTGGTTGGTTATTATTCCGTCTACCGTTTTGACGTCCCCTTCCACTACTTGCCATCTACACACATGCCAAATAGCAATAGAGCACTTATTTAATATCCCTAGATAGAAATCAAGTATAAACTTTGAGATTTCTCTCCTTGTCTCATTAGTAGAGCATATGCCACCACTAGTAGACATTTACATCTTGAACTATCCTGTTCATCCTTTTTTTCCGAACCCTAAGGTTATGTTTTTTAATTTTAGTGCTTCTCCTTTCCATATATATTTCACCATGCATATAATTCACATAACACATAACACATAACATGAAATGGACAATGAATGCCATGGTCTAAACCCATGTCCAACAGTCCTAGGTAAATCGTATACCTATGCTCTTATACAAAGTTATGACGCCCCTCAAATCGGGGGTCCTTTTTTAACCGTTGACCACCCGTCAATCTACGAAAATACCCGTGATTGTCGCATAACCCAACATCACGTCTATCGCATTCCCTTAACCAGGATTATAATCCACGTGTTTAACTCGTGTATATTTTACCCTTTGACCAACTGAGGTCCAATATACCTCAATTATAATCCATTTATGTCATTTGAATGCAAAGACACTTAGCCTAAAAGTCTAGCCATGTATTCTTACAATTTCAGTGTTTTGGAAAATTTACCGGTAGGTTTTCTCTTATGGAAAAGTTCTACCGGTAACCTACCACCTGAAAAGTTCCCCGCCGGTACATACTGTGTACCTGAAATGTGTTACTGTACAGGGTGAGGCATGCCCAATAGAGTATTTTCTACAGAGGCTACTCCCCAATCTAAATGTATATGCAATACTTATATGTAACATTTAACAATCGACAATCATTCCAAACAAGAATATGCAATTTAATGTTAGACTTTCTATCATGTCATGCTATGAAATGAAATGAGACTCACTCATGTCCTTTAACCGGAGCCCTTACAGACTCTCACAACACATGTTATACTAATGGGTATGAATCCGTCATTTATGTGACACATCAAATAACATTTATAAATCCAGGGTTTTTCTTGGGGTGATTATTCATGGACTTACACCAAGGGTAACCCAACCCACATGGAATTTATGGACTTCAACCGAGGGTTCTGTGTACACTCACATATTTTATGGACCAAACTAAGGGAGTGCGTACCCCAACTACCGGGTCTTGTACTCGAGGGACCTTCTAACCTTTTTTACTAACCCCAACCCAATTTATCGTGCGAACCATGCGACTCAGCCAGGCCTTTGACCCAACTTTTCCAAGCCCACCAATCATTCACCACGTGTGGTGTTAACGACAACCATGCACACACTCATACCCACACCTATGTCTTATGCCCATGGTTGTGATTCTTCCGTGTAAATGCAATGTAATGCACCATTGCAATATCAATGTCATGCCCTATATATAATGAATATCATATGAGTAAATTTAACCACATATATACATGTTCCATGACCAATTATATCATATACATATAATCACCAAACTTCATCACAATGTTAATATATCAATAAACATATATCAACATTTCATATCTAACAACCATTCACAAGCATGTTATCACATATGCCAATAACACACTTCATTCACCAAGGCATAATTAAACATATAACATGCCCATAAATACCAATTTTCATGGAATTTCACAAGTAATTACCACATTTCAATTCCAAGCTAGGAATTTAATCTAAACCATTTCTAATACTCATTTCTATCAATTTCACAACAATTGGTAAGTAATATATAGTTCTATCAACATACCCATTGCATTTAAGCATCCTAGGTTATAAATAAATCTAAGTAGGAAGAAACCCTACCTCTTGAAGCTTAAACCCACTTGGTAGAAACCTTCAAGAGTCCCAATTTCACCCAAAACTCTTGATTTTTTCAAGCTCGATTTTGAAACTTCGGTGGAACTCATCATTTTTGGTGTGGTCGCGTAGCTCTCGACAAGGAGATCAATTTTTGTTCTTGGCTCGAGCGAATTTGAGCACCCAATCTCCATAGATCTTAAAGAGAAGGTGGAGAAATCTTTTTTTCCCTCTCTTCCTCTCTCACGTTGGAACTGGCTGAAGAAAATAGGGGTGAAACCTGATTTTGTCTCCTATTTATACTCTTAGAATACTTGGCTCACAAAATGCCACACACACGACCCTCTTTTTCTCGGGTCTATTTTCGCCCCGAAACGATTAAATTTCGTCTCGGTTAATTTTATTTTACTCTGCCTTATATTATTTTTCAACTTTTGAATTTTTATTAAAAATCCCGTTTTTGGGTCAACCAAGATTCGACCGCCTTGTAAAAGGTGCAAAATTCGACTATATCATAATTCGATGTAATTTGACGGAATAACTAAATTTCGCAAGGCAAATTCAAAGGTGAGGTTCATTTCGTTATCCGAGTTCTAGAAAATCTCAGGTTTACAACCCATACTGTTGCGGTAAATTACCATTTTTCCATTTTTATAAAAAGTTTAAATTTATCGGAGTTTTATACCTAAGATTTGTTACTTAATCACTCAGGCCTATGACATTTAAAATATTACACACAGATTATTTGAAATTTGTACGCACGTAACACATAAACTCCTGCTGTAAATATATTTATTAATAAATTATATTTAGACCCCTTTAAAATTTGTAGGTATATAATACTTAGACCTTTTAAATTTAAAATATTATACTTAAATTAAAAATACTCTAATCAAAGATAGAATATGAAATATTTTAAATTTTACAATCAAAATTCATGTTCTATTGTATCATTTATTGAAACAAAATTTAAATTTAAATTTTAATTTTTTAAAAAATTGTAATTAGTATACAATTATACTATTTATTGGAATTAAATTAAAAAATCAAATAAGATGTCTAAGTCATTCATAATATAACATAAATTTTACATTCAAAATTTATGTTTTATTATGTCATTTATTGAAATAAAATCAAAAATAAAAATTTAATTTAAAAAAAATCAAAATTAATATATAATTAAAATATCTATTAGAATAAAACTAAAAAAAATTAAATAAGGGGTTAAACTGTAATGAACACAATATATTTTAGCTTTAATTTGGATAGTTTGATATTTTAATTTGGTCGTTTAAATGACCAAATTAAATTCTAATAGTCAATATAATTGTATACCAATTATGATTTTTTAAGAAAAAATTAAAATTTTATTTTAATAAATATTAATTGAAAAATTAAAAATATTTGATATTATATCTTTAATTGAAATATTTTTGGTCTAAATATAATATTTTAAATTTAATAGGTCTAAGTAATGCATATTTACAAAATTCAAGGGTTTGAGTGTAATTTATTAATAGTGTTTACCAACTTTAAAAGGTGTATGTATAATATTTTAAATATTAGAGATTTTGAGTGATTAAGTGACAAACTTTAAGGAATCGAAATATAATTCTCCCTTTATTAAATGAAACAAATTTTTATTTTGTTAAATAAAAAATATTATCCAACCCAAATTTATCCTCTCTGAAATCTTTTAAATTTTGTCTTTTATTAGATCTTTTATATTATCTTATCTCCCCTGTTCGCTCTCTCTCTCTCTTACACACACACACACACACTCTGTTGGAGCTCTCACCATGAATCTGGAAATGATTCAACTGATCCTGGTCCTAATTCTCATCTCTCTCTTGAAATTCATACACAAAATCATCTGGGTACCACTCAGAATACAAAATCACTTCAGAAAACAAGGCATTGGAGGCCCTAGCTACTGCCCCATCTCCGGCAACACTGCCGAGATGAGGCGGCATATGACGGCAGCAGCCTATTCAAGCCCAATCCCTTTCAACCACGACATAGTTCACAGGGTGATTCCACACTACTACAACTGGTCAAGGGTTTATGGCAAGACGTTCGTGTATTGGTTCGGGTCAAAGCCGAGTCTGGCCATAGCCGAACCGGACATGATCAGAGAGGTTTTGCTGAACATCAGTGGTTCGATTGAGAAAGTTGGGTTGGACCCTTTGTTTAAGCTGCTTTTTGGAGGTGGACTTGCCGACTTGTCGGGTGAGAAGTGGGTTGTTCATAGAAGGATCACTAGCCAGGCCTTTAACATGGAGAGAATTAAGGTGATTAGTCTCTTTCCCTTTCTCTCTCACACAAAAATACAAACACTATTTATTTTTGTGGTAAGAATGCCAGCAAATTGTAATGGAGTCAACTTTGATGTTGGATTACAGTTGAACAGAAAACTATCAAACATATAAAAGTGGACCTTCATACACTATTTTTTAGACCTTAGACACATATTTTAGTTTAGTTGGTGTTTGATTTCAATCTATTTTATAATTTATATATTTTTGGTTCGACGGGGGGAGAGGCGTTTGGGTCATGGTGTGCACACTTCGATTAATCTCTTATCCGATCTAAGTCAATAGCAGATCATCCACACCAGAATTAGGCTATTCATCCTGCCTAGCTTCAAGGGGTTGTTAAAGTTCAATCTCAACTCGTCTCTCTTTTGGGTTAATCTATTCTATAATTCACCATATGGTGTGAGAGAGAATCCTTATTAATGATGCACAAAAGTGTTTATACAAAATTAATTCAGTGGATAAAGTAAGACGGGCTCAACTCATGCAAACACAACGATTGAGTGGATTCGATCTAGGTGACCTTCTCCACTCGAAAGGGCTACTGTGGCTGAAGAATCTCATTGCGCAAGAGTATAGTATGCTGACGTGTGTGTCATACCCCTCATGTATAGATGGGGCTTATAATTTATAGGGAAGTACAGTTTTTATGCCTGGAGGTGCCATTACCAAGAGCCTGATTAGAGCGCCACCTTTGTGAGGGGAGTGGGTGACTTCGTGATATTGGCGTAACGGACGAGATAGTTGAGGCTTACGATGCGTTTTCACGTGCATCACTAATAGACTTGGTTTTTTTTTAAGACGATGGACTTGGTCTGGGCTGAGCGGCACCTGTGACCTGGGCATAGTTTGTATTTCTAAACTAGGTCTTTGAGCTAGGTCCAATCTATAATTTTGGACTGGGCCGTGTCCGTCATTTATACACTGGATATGATTTTTATTTTCAACAGAAATATTGTTTCAACCACTATTCTCATATAGATGCCTGAAATCTGATCTAGGAAGGTTGATATAAGTTGACTTAATGAGAAAGTCCTATCCACGGGATATGATTTTTTGTTTTTTAAACAAAAATATTGTTACAGTCAATATCCTCATATAGTTGTCTGAAGTCTAATCTACTAAGTTTGATATAAGTTGACTTAATTTCGTTTTAAAGAGTTGAAATAACCGAAACGTTTGTATGAAAACCGAAATAGATCAGTGATTGAATTTATTCTGGTATATTTCAGAATGTTTCTCAAATAAATTTTCTTTTTTTTTTGTTTCCATCGTGTTTCTGAATTGATTTTGAAACATTTGTGAAATATTTTCGTTTCTAAATTCATCGAAACTATGCATGAAATCAAAATTTGATACTTGGACTCTAGCTTTGGGACCGAAAACCCACATGGCCTTGGTTGTTTATGACAGGGTTGGATGCCAGAAATTGTTGCTAGTACTATGCAAATGTTGGACAAATGGGAGGAAGAAAGAGGGGGCAGAGAAGAATGGGAGGTGGAGGTGCACAAAGAACTCCATAACCTCGCAGCCGAGGTAATATCTAGAACAGCTTTTGGGAGTAGTTTTGAAGAGGGAAAGCGCATTTTTAAATTACAAGAACAGCAAACTAGCCTCGTCTTGGAGGCCCTTCGCAGTGGCTACATTCCTGGATTCAGGTAATCAATTCAAGAAACCTTGTGGACTTGCTTTGCTGTGATTAGTTTTACCGTTTGGAATATCATTTCAACTCGGGAGGAAGAACTGCTAGTAGACACAAAAACATCCACTCTTGATCTATGTTCGATCAAATAAAATACTTAACTAACTCCGCACGTACTTACTGAAAAATCATAACTCCGCACGTACCCCTGATTCTTTCGATTCTTCTGATCAGCAATCTACAGTAAGTCATAAATCTAGTATGGCTAGTTGTTCTCGGATAGCACCTACTCCTAAAGAGATCTCCCAATTTTGGTTTTGTTGAACAACTATAAAAGGGGACTCAAAAAGTATGGCTGTATGAGTACTGAAGAAGGAAGAAATACCGGTTCCTTTCAGAATTCATAGTGCATATACATGTAATGGTCCCTGTTAAATTTATCATTCAAAGACATTTTTTTCCCACTACCATCCCCATCTAGCATTCATTCTTTTAATTTTATTTTTAAATGGGGAATTGCATATATTATTAATACCAGTGCATATGAAATATTGATGCACAGCGTCTTACTTGCAATGTATTTTCAGACTTGTCCTTTTGGCACATTTGGTAGACTTGATGCACAGGTACTAGTCCTCTGATCACATCACATAGGCTTTATGCACATTGGAGTATCAGAAAAGACTGCTATTATGTAACATAACCCACATTGGTGTTGTGATCAGCCTCATTCCTGTTAACTCCTGGATCATGCTGCAACATGTGGGACAAGGGCAATAAGCATATTGTGTAGCAGTACCACTTTATTGGTCCCATTTTTCCATCTTGTTCTTCAGGAAATTGGATTGAGAAATCGGTGCTTCCTTAAACCATTTCTTGACTGGAGATGTAGTGACAACTAAACCATTGTGTTTCTTAGATTTGGGTATAGCTTTATTTGTTCTGGTTTCTGAAAACGAAATTATGTGCAGGTTTTTGCCCACCAAGAAGAACAGAATGATGTGGAGATTAGAGAGGGATACTCGAGACTCGATAAGGATGCTGATTGAGAGTAGCAGCAAAACAAGATACAAGTCAAATGAAAATTCGAAAAAGCTAATTACTTTGTTAATGTCTGCATATAAGAATGAGAATGGGGAAGAAGAAAAATTAAGTATAGAGGAAATCATAGACGAATGCAAGACTTTCTACTTTGCAGGAAAGGAAACAACTGCTAATCTTTTGACTTGGGCACTTCTCCTTCTAGCACTGCATCAAGAATGGCAGACCAAGGCACGGGCAGAAGTGCTTCGAATCTGTGGAGACAATGAGCTTCCCACTGCTGAGAATTTAATGGACTTCAAGATTGTAAGTTTAATTTCTGCTTATTTTGTACTGTTTTGTTGCTGTAACTAGAAGTTTGAGCCTGGATAAGAATTCAATCGCATTTCTTCCTCTTAAATTACTAATTAATCTGATCACAATGAGAAGTTGCATTGTTTCTTGTTCCTGTTAAACTTGGCCCCACTGTTTCATGTACTGCTGAGAACTTGGCTGAGGGATGGGACAGTTCGATGAAAGAGAATAGATGACAAATAATTAGAGGAGAAGAACATGTTGCTATAGATGTATGATGACGATGTGCTTAAAATTGATAGTAGTGGGTTGGCTATGCTTCATGATTCGAGATATACTTGAAACGACTGATAAGGTGTGCTATTTTTTACATTTGTTACTTGACACCATCTGATGCTTTGCATGATATGTACATTCTACCATTTCAACATCTTTACTATTGTTTCACTTTCTTCTCACGTATTCATGACTGCAAATATGAGATACAAAGTGGTTTATCAACAGGTAGGTATGATACTGAAGGAAGCACTTCGACTCTACCCTCCAATTGTGTTGTTGGCTAGGCAAAACTGCAGAAATGTGAAGCTAGGGGTCCTTAACCTTCCAGCCAACACACTACTACTTTTGCCCTTGGCTGCAATCCATCACGCCACTGAGATCTGGGGAGAAGATGCAAACGAGTTCAACCCAATGAGATTTGCTGAGCCTCGCAACCATTTGGCCTCTTTTTTGCCCTTTGCGTTAGGCTCCAGAAACTGTGTGGGTCAAAATCTGGCCATGGTTGAGGCAAAAATCGTATTGGTCATGATCATCAAACACTATTCCTTTGCAGTATCACATTCTTATGTTCATGCCCCACTAGCAGTTATAGCTGTGCAGCCTCAGTATGGTGCCCAAATAATCTTTAGAAAGTATTGAGATAGGTTTGAAATGAGATTAGTGATTTTGTTTGTATGTTTAAGAAGTGCCTCTTTATCCTGTCTACATACAAATGTTCTTTTAGTATCCTGAAAGCATAGATAAGTCAGGTCTGTTTAAACCTTGACTTTTTTTTAACTTGTTTATGCAGTAGTTTGTTGGACCCAAAAAGGCATATTTAAGTTGATTTTATAAGCTTTTCTTTCAATTTTTTAAAATTTTGTCGTGAATTTTATATAAATTTTTAGTTTATTATATTCATAGAATATTGTTAGTGATGGAAAAAAATTTGAAATTCATATTTTGAAAATTATTATGAATAATTTATACATACACATAATTTTTTTTTTATTTTGACACAAAAAGGCAAGAAAATGGACTTTTTTAGTTTTTTAAATAACATCCCAAATGGTTTTTCAACTTTTCTCGATTTTTAAAGAATACCTCAAACGGTTTTGGAGGTTTTTTTTTTAATTTTGATCTTTTTATGAAATTTTTCAAACTATTACACAATTAATACTCGATTTTTGACATTGTGTAGTGTTCATTGATACTTAGTCATTGCTAATACATGTATATTTGCGTAAAGAGGTATTATTTATACATATGATTAATCTTGCCAGAATAAAACAAATCCAGACAAAAAAAAAAATATAAACATTACTTAATCCATCATTTGAAATATAGAGAAATGTTATTTCAATTTAAAATGTTATAAATATAATTTATTAATTTAATCAATTACAACTGTAAAATAGATAATAAATTTCAATAAATATTAGAACCTATAGTTAAATTGTGATTGAAATCAAGTGCTATATGACAAATATACAAGGTCAAATTCGGCCGTTCAAATTCTTTTTACTTTTCTTTTCTACGCCGGCCGGTAGCATATTTAAGTGTTTGATTATTTCGATAAATTGTATATATAATTATGACTACACCCCTTAAAGTTTGGACTAATTAGAAAGAGTGATGTCATGATTTGAGAAATCATATTTTACCAACTCTTGAGTTAATATTGAATATCCACGGGTACTTTGCTCGTAATTGGCCTTTAGAGATGGTGAACCCAATGATTATTTATACACAAGTAATTTTTTTAAGTAATATTATAGAAATCTAATTAGGGAATTTAATTAGAGTTTTAATTCAATGCAGTCATTAGATTAATTATAAATTCTAATAGTACATAAATTATATTTTTTTTAGTTCAACAATTAGGGGTGTTCGGACCAATTTATGCGCACCTTAACTAATCTTATTTCTGATCCAATCAAGATAGGCCATCCACTTTAGGGACATAGTATTCATGAGAGATAAATCCTTTATAACCTGACTTCTAAGAGTTGTAAAAATTCGAAGTCAAAACATCTGAGTTTACAACTCATCTCTGTTATCACTTGAACTATCCTTGAAACTATTTCTTCAAGTAATGAATCACACGTTCCACTCAACAATGGTGGTTGATTAGGTCCATATTAGTTCCCGAAATTATATCAAAGTAGCATTTCTCTTTTTAATATAAAGTACCTTACTTGCCTAGTTGCCTGAAAGGATATCTTCGGGAAATAAGCCGAAACCATTGAATCAGCCAAACTCATTGCATCCATTTTATAGAGTAAATTAATGATCTCTAAATTATGAATCTTGTTTCAATTAAATTCTTAAATTAATTTTTATACTAATTGAGTTCCTAAAATTTTAGCAATTAAGTCTTGTGCGTGCAAGATCTTGCACAATATAAAAAACGAGAACAGATCTCTCCCTTGGTGAACTCGAGTGAGTCAGCTGAGTGGTCAACCACGCTGCTTGGGACAGCCTGTGAGATCCGGTGGTAACCTGGAACGGCAACGGGAGACCCTCGTGAATTGAAGGAATGATCCAGTAAGGCTGGGGAAAGGTTCCTGGAATAAAGGAGAACAAGTTAGAAGGGTGCCAGAGTGTTTTCCGGCGTATCCCCTCCGACGATCAAGTTAGTTTTTGAAAGGGAGAGGAAGAAGAAATCACTGAGTATATTTCGTAGTAAAGAGTTTTTTGTTGCATACCGTTTTGCCTTTTATGAGGAGTATTTATACCTCAAAAACTCATGATTGCTGTCAGTGTTGTCAGTAGATGATCATTAGGTACAGGCAGTGTGCGCACTGATTCTGATGAGAAATGTCTTCCTTTCTTTAACTGCTCGGAGTGCCGAGCAATCAATGCTGTGTCATCAGGCTGCCGATTGTCTAATGATCTCCACTCGGGGAGGATGCAATTAATGCCTAGCCTTAGAGACATTTATTGCCTTTCAATTCCGAGCCTTACCGCATTGAATACGGTCTCATCAAGGGAATGGTGTAATTAAATGTTTGCTTTCCCAAGTCGCGTTGTCAGTAAGGACATACGGTCTTTCTGTCTTTGATGTGACACAATTTGCCACGCGTCCATCCCTCATTGGCTGTGGACCCTGCCTTCCTGTTCTTTCTGACACCAATTGTGTAAGACGAGACCATGATAGCTAACCTAGATTAGCCTAGGCTAATGACCTGTACATCAATAGTTTATATTGGAGCAGAGAAAAAGGCATCCTAGACGGGGGTACATCTTAGTACCGAGGATAGGACATCTCGAGCCGAGGGAAGCTGTACATGACGACCGAGGTACCATATCAGACCGAGGGTCGGTTCGCAAAATGTACTCGACACGTGTCAAGTACCTCGGGGGCGAGGGAGTTTGTAAGCCGATGGTACGTGATCTCAGTTAATAGGATTTTTAGTGACGTCGAGGCCAAGTGACTTTATCTTGGAGTATTTCAGAAAAGTCCCATCAACTGCCCCCAGCTTTTGATCTTCTGATGTCGAGGACACGCGTCGTAAGGAGACGAAGGGTTTCCCAACAACCTCAACTGCTTCATCATTGCCTCTAGCCGCTTTTTCCTGCTTAGGGAGTCGTGCGCATTAAATGCGCCCTTTCGTGTTTCGCGCCCAATGATGAGACCGATACTATATAAATGGGCTTTCTCCCTTTTTTTCTCATTTCGTCATTCTGAACTTTTCTTCCAGAGAGCCCTTGCCTGAATCTTCGCCGAAGACCTCTTCTCTTTTGTCTCTTAACTGCCCAACCTTTTTACTGAAGCTTTAAAGCTAGCAGACCCATCCTTTGTTTCTGAACATTCTGGGAAGGAATCGATTCAAGTTTTCCAGAAAATACCTCTTCTTACGCTCTGGTGAGTACCAGTATCCTCCATTTCTTTGCCCTTCTGTCTCTTTTGGTTTTCCAATTATCGGAGGTATNATCATCCAAAATTCCTTGGTGGTAAGTTCATCTTTGCTTCAGTCTCTTTTAGCCCCAATTTTCCTTTTAGTGACATGCTCTTTCATTTGCAAGCCACCCAAAAGATTTCCATAATAGTGGCGCGGTACCATGGGACTAGGATGGACCTTCAGCGGGTTCGAGAACAAANTTGAAGAGCTCGGGGTCGGAGAGGACTTGGTTCCTACGCACGCCGAGGTGGGGACTTCGGGGAGAGATTCCTGACCGGACTTCCAAATCCTACACTCTCTCGACGTCGAGGACGCCCTTGAGGTAGCTATGTCCAGTGCTCCCCGTATTGATTTAGGGTTCCTTAGGCAGAGGCAAGCCCTCGCTGCTGGGAGGGGACAAGGATCGACCGGTGGGACCCCACCTGCAGGGACCAGTGCCACCCCCTCCTCAAGAGTCGTCAGTCGGGGTCAGGTGCGTGATCGAGATCCTCAGATGGAGGAGGAGAGGAGGGTCAAACATAGGCACGACGGCCTTGGGAGGGGATCCAGGGCCTCCCCCGCTCAGCAGCAAAGTGGGAGAGGCCGTGGGTTACCTCCTGCTCCTCAGCAACAACAGCAACAGCAGCAACAGCAGCAACAGCAACAGCAACAGCAACAGCGGCGACAGCAGACTCCTCCTCTTCCGCAGACAGTGGAAGCTGCGGAGTGGAACCCTCGAGCCACTGATCACATGGACCGAGTGATCAGGGTCGACAATTCCATTTTGCAGGACCCTCATGTCGCCAATGCAGTGAGTGAGACGCTGCATTTCGAGGCCGACATGGCGGCTCACAGAGGGCGATCAACAAACGTGTTGTTTCGCTCCATCATCCAAAATTCCTTGGTGGTAAGTTCATCTTTGCTTCAGTCTCTTTTAGCCCCAATTTTCCTTTTAGTGACATGCTCTTTCATTTGCAGGCCACCCAACAGATTTCCATAATAGCGGCGCGGTACCATGGGACTAGGATGGACCTTCAGCGGGTTCGAGAGCAGAAGGAAGAAGCCGAGGGAGCCCTTGCCAGTGCTAGGGAGGATGTCGCTGCAAGGGATTCCACCCTCGCGGGGCAGGCTGCTCAAATCGAGCAACTCCTCAAGGAGGCCGAGTTGGCGAAGGTCGGCGCTGAAAAGCTAAGTGCTACCCTTGCCGACGCTGAGAGGAGGATAACAGAACAGACGCAGCGGCTCTCTGCGGCAGAGGAGAGGGCTGTTGGTTCAGAGGAAAGCTAGCTGGCTCTGACCCAGGAGTTNTTTCCACCTCTTTCCCGGGCAGTGTTGCCTTAATGTCTTTAGGATAATTATAGGGGTGCTAGAGCTCAATAGGCGTCTTGGGGTAAACGTCGGGCTGGACGATATCTTTTTTTGTTATTTCGTTTTGAGAGTTACGCCTCAACAACACTTCTACCTCAAAGGCAGGGACCCATCTATGTACCTCGTAACTCACCTTCCTGACTCGGACAAGGGGTACAAGAATGACCTACTAATCTTCAGGGGATCTTGGCAGAGAGGTGTCGATCCCGAGTATGACGGCTTGTTATGTCCATTGGAATGGAGAACGACAAGTACGTCGGTTCCTTCGGGCCTTATTATTTTGTTTCTGAAATTTTCTACATGCTCATGACCCTCTCTCCTCTTTTTGCTTGTGCAGACATCTCCCCTCGGGAAACAGCACCTCCACCCCGATCGTCGGTGAATTTTGCTGACTTAATCACTGTTTGGAATTTTATTGGCGATGACGGGCTCGACCGGGCTGTCCACATNACAGCAAGGAGTTCTTCAAGAGGGGGTGGGACGAGGTGCTCCAGTCTGCTGGAATCCTGTCAGACTCTCCACTCTTCCAGATGCACAAGTACGTGCCTTCGGCGGAGATGAAATGGGCCGAAGCAGAGATTGCTGCCAAGGGCGAGATTCCAACGCT